CACCACCACCCATATCCTGATGATTTTATTGTAATAGTCTGCAACTACAAACTCCAAATCAAGTATATGAGCTCACAACAACAGAGGAATAGCAAATACTAATCATAGTGACAGGACAATTTTGTGTGTTGTCTTTCACCACACCGCATCTTTCTGGCAGATTTGTTTTTAAACTACAATTTTATAATCCTGATATTTTCCTGAAAGTGTCCTTTTTCACCCTGTTGTTAACAGCTACCCTCTGAAAACTATAAATGATGCTGGAGCATTGCATGATCCATTACAAGTATTTCAAATGTACCAAAGGTGCAGTCAGCTAAGTAGTGCTTCAAGAATCTGAGTTAAAACTGAGGAGGAAATGCTGAGAGCTGCTTAGATGTCTGCAGTGCTATAGAATTTGATCAGGTAAATTGTTTTGCAGCAAAATTCTTGTTATCTTTACAGTTCTGCTGATTTTAAGATTTATGGAGTTCCATAACTCCTTGGCAATCCAACTGTGGCATTTTTCTCCTGCTTTCCCCTATTTGGTCTTTAATAAGGGAAGGAAATTAAATGCAAATAGCGGGGAGACAGGAAATGAAAAAGTTAATGTTACAGAGACAACTTTAATTCCCCTACAGTTAAATATACTCTGTATGTTCAATTATTAAGTTTAAACCATCTATAAAGTTTGGAGTATTTTTATTTAAGCAGGTTAAGATCTCCAAAGCTATTTATTTCAAAGGGCCTTTTAAAATCTGCAGTATTATGTGTGCATATTTGCTTTTATATTGTACACTTTTTTTTTTTTTTAATTATTTGAAGTCAAGAGAGACAATGCTACCTTTTCCCTACACGAGTCATAGTATCTAGAAATAACAGGAGCTGAATTAAAATTCAAAGCAGGTAAAATGATTGTTCCCAAATCCAGTGAAACAACTGTGTGTTGAAGAAAACTTTATCAGGTGGCCTCTACAACATATACATTTTTACTTTTGGGAAGGTGGCCTCTCAGCTGTAAAAAGGTCCCTTTCTATTCCACGCAGAAACAAGAGATAAATTGTACAATTTTTCATTGGGACTTAGTTCCTACAGTTCAATTTCTGCTGAAATTCTCACTTCCCTAACTGGATCATTTTTTTTTTTAATCTTCAAGTAAAGCACAGCAATGTGAAAACGGGAGCAAACAGCACTGCCTATGTAGGCATTTTTTATTTCTTTCTGTCTAGTAATTTTTTAAAAAATTAAGCTTTTTTCCTTCAATTTCACATATCTGGAATCAAAAATTAAAATCATGTGCATAAAATACTTAAGAATGACCTTATTATTCCCAGGTGTTTTAAAAGACTAATATAGTCCACAGGTTCAGGAAGGAATTTAACTTCACCACCATTCTACTCCCTTTATTTTAATTGCTTTCTGGTAAAAAGATTCTTTATATAATATGAGAAAGTTTCCTATATTTTTTGGTGTATTCAAAATTTGTTTATCATGAAGTTCATGGAACAGTCTTAACTAGTGAAAATTAAGAAAAATAAAAGCGACACAATAAAAATTGTTTCTGTTTTGTGTTTTCCTTTACCCATCTCCCTTTTTCTCCTTGCAGCTTGCTGAAGAATAACTTCAGCTCTCGAACTGTCAGGTTATAGCTAGCCAACACACCCAGCATGTCCACTAAGAGATCTGAAAAGCAAAAAGAACAGCAGTGTAAGTGCTTAATAAAAGACAGCGTCATATTTTTATCATCTAATTAATAACTGTGTCCATGAGATTTTATGTAAAAGCACAGTTTGAGTTCCACAGTGTGGGAGGCTGTACCTGCAATCATGTTTTCAGCTCTATCAATCCTCCTGAGCACTTGTTCCACAAGCCCCACTTCTGTGCAGACCTGGAGATTCCGTATGCTTTTCTTCAGTATTGCTGTAAACATGCTCCAAACCTCAGCCTGGCAGGTGATATCACACTTATCCAGTAAGTCCACCATGGAGGTGATGCCCTCTCCTTCTTGGATGATAAAGTTCATTTCCAAGTCAAACTGGCCCCCAACAAGCTTTTAAAGAAAAATATTTACAAAAAAAAAAAAAAACCTTAAGGCAACAGCATCAAAGTATTACTCCATGCCTAAAGTTAGTCATTCTTAAAGTGTATTATTGTATATGTCTAAAATTCTCATAAAGTGAGAAGAAAACTGTCAAAGGTGTAAGGGAAACAAATATAATCATGAGGCCAACATC